AATGCGCACGCCGCTTTTACAAGCTATTTAAAAGCGGAGGAAAAGAGGGAACGCCCCGCCCCCACGGTAATACCGGTATTACCGGTGTTGTCACACGTCGATTAACCGGTGGGAAAATTTCCTCACCGTCACAACCCTAGCGTCCAGTACCTTTGCTCCTCTGTGTCGGCGTCAGGGTTCTCCGGGAGGCCGGTGAGCTCCTGCGGACCCTGAGTCTGTTCTGCACTCATCCTCTCCTTCCCGAACTCAGACGGATAGATCTGACGAATGCATGTCAACAATTCAGACTCGCGGCTGCAGGATTGACATGTCACAGAATGCAACTGATTGTGGAGGAAAGAGCAGGAAGTGATAGGACAGTTACCATCACAGACAGCACCACGCCTCCTTTGGGCTTAAACGAATTGAAGAGAGCCAGAAGATCTTTAGCTTTCAGTCTGTCCCAGTTCAAGTTACAAACCGCCAACCGCCGTGAAGACTAAACACACAAACACAGGAAATAACACACCAGCATGATAAATAAATACTTTTTTTTTTGCACAAGTAAATATTTTAACTGCATTATGCTAAAAATGTGTTTAAATGTCATTAAAATAATGTCAGAATGCAAAAAAAAAAACAATGGCTGTAAACATTATAATAGAAATTACTATATTAAATATAACACAAATAATATCAATTTTATTTTAATTTAATAAGTACACTACTGTTCAAAGGTTTGGGGTCAGTAAGAGATTTTTTTTAAAGAAATAAATACTTTTATTCAGCAAGGATGCATTCAACTGATCAAAAGTGAACGTAAATAAATTTACAAGCTTACAAAAGATTTCTATTTCAAATAAGTGCTGTTTTTTTTTATTTCTACTCATTAAAGAATCCTGAAAGTATTATTGTTTCCACAAAAAAATATTGAAAAGCAAAAACTGTTATCAACTTTGATAATAATGAAAAAATGTTTTGGAGCAATGATGCTGAAAATTCAGCTTTGCCTCACAGGAATAAACTACATTTTAAAATATATTCAAAAAATGTTTAATAATATTTCACAATATTACTGTTTTTACTGTATTTTTGATCAAATAATTGCAGCTTTGGTGAGCAGAAGAGACTGCTTTCCACATTTTTTAAAATCTTACTTTGAATGGCAGGTTATGATTAATAAAGCATTCGGATGAATCTCACGTTGTCACTGCGTGGAGCATCTTTCCACATCTCTCCCCAGTCATGCTCAATCTCCTCTTCCTCGTGACGAAGATAGTCCTCCAACTCATCATCATCATCATCTTCATCAGAGCTGGTCTCAATGTTACCCTTCCCTCGGGCCAGATCGGGTCCACTGTCACCGTCTTCACCTGACTCACTCTCGTCATCTTCATCAGCCTCTTCATCCTCATCTTCAGAAGGACCCTCTTCCTCATCCTCTTCAACACCATATTCCTCATCCTCATCTGTTAAAACCAATTCAAACAGTATCAAGCCATAAATAACATAAACGAATCACCGTCTTCAGAAGATCCATATCAAAACTAAACAATCAGATTTACATAACTCATAACATTAAAGCAATATGAAAGCTAACGCAGTACCTTCTTCAAAAACTCTCACTCCCTTTACCAGCGGCTCTTTAGTTTGCGTAGCTTCTTTTGGCTTCGGGATCTTCTCGGCTTCTTCCTCCTCTTCAGATTCATCGCTCTCTTCTTCATCCTCAACTTGAGGTTCCTCATCAGCCTTTTTCACTTTCTTTTCCCTCTTGGGCTTTTCCGTCTTCTCGTTCGCCTCTTCTTCGTCTGACTGCTCGGAGTCAGAGAGCTTGTAGAAGCGCTTGAGGTCCTCGGTGGACGTCTGGTTGACGGGTCGGCCGCGTTTATCGACTGTATACGTCAGTTTAAAGCGTTTGTCATGAAACATGGACTTGAAACGCTTGTCGATTTTGACTTTGCGTTCTCTGCTGGGCATCTCCCAGAAGCGAGGGTCCTTCTGGACCTTTGAGAAGCGGTCGTCACCGCTTACAGTGTTTTTGGAGGTCATGGTGAATATTTGGAAGAGCTAGATGAAAACATCAACCTGTGAAAAACACAGAAGAGGTTCATTTCAAGTACATGTGAAACCAATTACCTAGAATTATATCAAACAGTTGTAAATGCATATTCAATAAAAGAAATGCCATGAAACATTTCTTACGCAGATAACCCAAAATAATGCGGCTCATGTTTCCATCTGTATAGAAAACACTCAAGTCCAAGTCAAAAAAACAAACAAAAATCTGATAAATTATGAAAAAATTGAGTAAAGTGGGGCTTGTTGCCACACTTTATACTGCAGTATTACCTATGGTAGATAACGGTGCATGCTGTCAAATTATAGTTTATAATGTATACTTGTCATTTGGCTGTATGCAAGTTCTTTTTATATTTATTTGTTTACAGCGTCTGTCTGTAATTCACACAGCACACATTCTGAACCATTGTACAGAGTCAGACTGTAACGACACAGAACTAAAACACTGAGCATGTCGTTAATTTACAACACAGCACTACAATTTACGAAAAATCCAAGAATTCAGTACAAAACAGACTGCGCAGTAATTAAAAACACTTACATAAAGACCGATACTGACCGACTGGGTTTTCGTGCGATGCTCCAGTACAGCTCCACACGTGTTTTCCCGTGATGCTTCACTACTTCCGTTACCACTTGGAAGCCACGCCCTCTTTTGCATACGGCGAGGCGAAGAGCTCAAAACACACCAGAGACGCGGTAGTATTTCCATCAGTACAGTTCTTTTCCATTCTGATATTTCTGACAATAAGGAGTTAAATGATGTCTTAAACTTGATGTGTATGATGGGTAAATACCATATCCACAAAGCTAGATACCTTAAATTTAAACCCAGCTGCAAAATATTTGCTTCTGATCTACATTTAAAAAAGCTGTGAAGACATCTCGTATTATAGAAAGGTTTTTAAGTAGTCTAAATTATAATATGCTATTTTTGTATACATTTTTTTTTCTTCTCTCCTCTGTATTCCCCCATATGTTCTATGTTCTTTGTTCTGTATTATTTGTTTCTTTTGTATTGAATTGTATTTCTGCAATAAAAAAGGTATAAAAAAGCACACTAGACGCGAGCGTCTTTCATTTTACTTTTGACATTCTTTGTAGATTTTATAGCTAACTTTAAAAAAAAACATTAAAAAAAATTTTTTATTTAAAAGCTGCCAGTGCAATATTTCTCGTTTTCATTCAATTTAAATTGATGTAGGCTTACTATAACTGAAACTAAACATTTTTATAAAAAACTTTTTAAAATAATAATAATAAAAATGACAAAACACAATTAAATTACTAAAACTTTAATTCAAATGAAAATGGAAATATAAAAATACAAACTAATTCAAAATACGAATAAAAACTATAAAAGATACCAAACACTGAACTTAGGCTATAATTTAGTTTCATAGCTGTTTATATAAATAAACTTACAAATAAAAATAATATAATAAATATAAATAAACTTACAAATAAGAAACTCTTCAGTCACTTCCATTATTCATCATCAGTTTTAAATCAGCAAAAGTGACCGCTACTCCTGTTGTACTACTATCACTAATTTACTAGCAGTTTTATTGTTTCTAATTTCTAATTTATTTAATTTATTATTATTGTTTTTACTATTATTTACCTTTAAAGATGAAAAATGAAATTCGAAATAGTCATACTTTTTATGTTAGTCAATTTTTCTGTATTTATTTAGATCCCACCCCCCACCCACCCCCTCCTATTCAATGAATGTTGTTTTGCAGAATAGAATAGAATTGTTTTTGTCTTGACTCCAGTCCATGTTCCAGTGTCCGGGAAAGATCCAGTCCACGTTTTACCGCAGATGTCTGTGCTGTGTGACGCAGAGCTGAGCTCCGTTTAGAGGCACACAGATGAGTGTGTTTGAAAGTGTTGTGCGAGCGGTAGAAATAAAATGTTAAACTGAGAACCGACGAAGAAGCATGAATATCACTGTGAAAAGCCTCCGGTCTCTGCGCTGTCTCTCCTCCAGGCAGGGAGGCGCGATGAACGTGTTTGACAGGAGCATGAAGCGCAAGCAGAAGCAATGGGCTTCATCTTTACTAGACAGCGACAAATACGATTACCTCCGAGACGAGGTGAGGTGCTTCACTGTATGATGCCTTTGTTTTGAGGAGAACTGAAGCGGAGTCTCTGAACTTCTGCTTTCCTTGTGTTTGCAGGCGGGGAGCAGAGTGGCAGACAGAGTTTATGATGTCTCAAGGTCACTGTCCACATGTTACATGCTTTTTAAACATCCTGTCATTAGCTCTTAAAGAGATAGTTCAGCCAAAAAAATTTTTTTTTACTCACTGTCTTGTCTTGTAGTTTCAACCCTGACTTTATTTGTTTTGTGGGATAGAAAAGTAGATATCAAGCAGAATGTCCAATCTGCTGTTTACCGTGCAATAGAAGTGAATGGGAACCGGGGCTGTTAAGCTCCAAAAAAGCATCATGAAAGTGATCCATATGACGTGCGTGCTATATTTAAAGTCTTCTGAAGCCATATGATAGCTTTGTGTGATGAACAGACAAATTAAAATAATTTTTTGGCATTTTGTAAGCTCGACAACTCCAGTCCCCATCCACTTTCACTGTAACAGCAACTCTGTCATTCTGAATAATGTGTCCCGTTTGTTTTCACAAGACAGTCATGTGGGTTTTGATTAACATGAGGATGAGTAAATAATAACAAAATTGTCATTTTTGATCCCCTGAATGTCATTGCAGGACTTTTCCTCTGGCTCTGGATGTAGGATGTGGAAAGAGTCACATCGCAGAGCATTTGAGTAAGGTAGAACCGTTTGTAATATTACAGTGAATAGCACTGGTAAAAGAAAAACTTATGTTTATGTTGTTGCGATGCGTAATGAGATATTTTGATGAATGTTCACATTACTCTATTTCATATAATGAAAGTGAAAGGAGACTAGGGCTGTCAAGCTTCTTGTGTTCTATATATATTTTTTGTTTTTTAAATTTTTCATATTCAAACAGGAGAAGCTTGATTGTACTTTGATTGTATGAAAAGAGCAGTGGGAACATTCTTTACAACATCTCTTTTTGTGTTCTGCAGAAGAAAGTAAGTTTTGTGTTTTCATTCTGTCCTGACACTGATTCTTTCTATTCTCAGGACATTGTTGAACGTCTCTTTTTAACAGACATTTCAGACTCTTCCCTGGTAAGAGACTTATCATGTCTTTATTTTATTAATGCACAGTTGCAACATAAACCTTAAAATTGTATAAATGGCTTTAGTTGTGCCCGTTCAAACTTTTGGGGTCAGTAAGACTTTATTTTATTTTGGGGACAGTAAAGACTTTTATAATGTTACAAATAAAATTATATTTCAAATAAATGCTGTTCTTTTGAACTTGCAATATGGTTTCCACAAAAATATGAAGCAGCACAACTGTTTTCAACATTAATAATAATAAAAGCAAATAATAAAGCAAATCAGCATATTAGAATGATTTCTGAAGGATCATGTGACACTGAAGACTGGAGTAATAATGCTGAAAATTCAGCTTTGATCACAGCAATAAATCACATTTTAAAATATATTACAATAGAAAAGTTATTTTAAATTCTAATAAAATTTCACTGTATTTTTGCTGTATTTTTTTATCAAACAAATGCAGCCTTAGTGAGCATAAGAGACTTCTTTCAAAAACATTAAAATTCAGATTATCAGCTCGCATTTTCTTGAAACGTCTTTCTCTTCCTTGTTCTTTAGAGAAATCGGAGGAAATGTGAGATTCCTAGTCACTGTGTTTTGGCAAATGAGGAGTTCCTGCCATTTAAAGAAAACACATTTGACCTAGTGCTCAGCAGCATGAGGTACCGTACTGCCCCAGTGCATGATGGGAAATTTAAAGAATGAACTGTCATTTATAAAGCCTTATTTGTCTCCTCAGTTTGCATTGGATCAACGACCTTCCTGGAGCTTTGAGACAGGTATGAGGATCTAACCAAGTGTGCAGTCCTGTTGTACATAATAAATAATCCAAAAATACCCCGTTTTTGTCGTTCAGATCTACCAGGTGTTGAAGCCGGATGGCGTGTTCATTGGAGCAATGGTCGGCGGTGAGACGCTCTACGAGCTGCGATGTTCTCTGCAGTTAGCCGAGCTGGAGAGGGAGGGCGGCTTTGCGCCCCATATCTCACCCTACACAGCCGTCACTGACCTGGGCAACCTGCTGGGACAGGCCGGCTTCAACATGCTCACTGTGGTATAAATATTCACATTTATTTTAAAGTTTGGTTACACTGATTCAGCTACACAATCTCCAAATCTGCTTGAGTTGAATTATGTGTGATTACACTGAGGCCCATTATTGTGTTGTAATTCAGGACATTGATGAAGTTCAGGTCAATTATCCTGGTATGCTAGAAGTCATGAGCGATTTACAAGGTAAACTTGCGTCTTTTAGATTTGGTGTCTTGTTTGTGTTATGAAATGGAAGGAGAATGTATTTATAGTTTATTCATGTACTTCAGGTATGGGTGAAAGCAACTGTGCGTGGAACAGGAAGTCACTCCTACACAGAGACACCATACTGGCGGCAGCTGCCATTTATAAAGGTGAGACCGCAAACTGGGAACGGCATCGAACGCTTGGAGGACCTCTGATATTATTGAAATGTTATTTGTTTAAAGTGCCCCTATTATGGGTAATGAAAGGTTCATATTTTGGTTTAGTTTTTTCAGTTAGAGTGTTTTCAGCTTGTTTATTTTCATATATAAATACAGCATGCAGTTGCATGCAAATGAAAATACAAAACAATGTAAATTGTGATAATCGTAATTAATAATCGCAATTACAATTTCAAGGGAATAATCGACAATTATGATTTTTGTCATAATCGTGCAGCCCTAATGCAAGGTCAAAAAACACTTTCATTGTCTTATAATATGCATTTATTTTTACCTTACTTGCTCAACGACTCCCTAATTTTATATTCATAGGATTTTTTCCATTATGATATTATTTTCATGGCAATAATGATGAAATTTTATTAAAAATTTTAAGTATTTATACATCATGGCAATATTGTTGTCCTGTTATTTTGATTTATGCTACTTTCTATAATAATAAAAATAAATATTTGTAACTTTTTAGGATTTTTAACTTTAATACAGAATAAAAAATTTTAAAAAACTATTACTATGGGAATCACACTTGAGAATAAATTCCCCAAAAAAAAACTTAAGCAAAAAATCTAAATGTATAGTATGAGAATGTCATTGGGATAATATGCTTAATTGTCATGAAAATAATGTCACATTGCAAAAATCTTTATGGTTCCAAAATCAGGCTTGATTTTCTTTATGCTGAATATAATTTCTTATTTTTTTCTTTTTGATTTTAGAGTGAAATGTCTTTGTCTCTGTCTGTGCATCAGTCAGTTTGTATTTATGTAAATGAGTGTTTTTTAATTGGAGTGTGTGTGTGTGTGTGTGTATCAGCCCGTCCCGTGACTGCTGTAGTCAAACACTCCCTTCTTAAAGAAAGGAGAGATGCTGCACACGGCGTGTTTAGAGAGGTGTAGTCCAAACTCGTCTGTTCTCAGAGGAGAAGAAGAGGAGGATGATATCATCACATGGAAGAATTTCCGCAGGTATTGCTGGGAAAACACAATGGCATCATCAACATCTCAGATCAGTAAAACCCCTGTAGTTTTCATGAGGTTCTCATTCAAAAACATATCTGATTACCTCCAACTGATTCCGGCGTTCCGCAACCATTCGCTCATCTCTGTTCCCAAAAATCTTTTTGGGAGGGAAGTCCAAAGCCGCAAGCTAAAACAAGATTCAAGATTATCTCAAATATCTCATTATTTTGGGATGAAATTTATTAATATATAATAAAGAAGGATAAAAATTGACAGGTTACATGCATGAACTTGATCTGAAATGAAATTTTTTTTTTTACATGTATGCATGTATCAAAAGCAGCTTATGCATGCATTAATCTTAATTGCATATAAATATTGCAAAAAAATGTGATGGTCCTAAATTATATTTTGGGGTGAAATTATATATATATATATATATATATATATATATATAAATATATCAAAAAAATTAAAAATATTTCAAAAATTACATCAATAAATCTGATCTGAAATTACTTAAATTTACTAAATGTATGCATTTATCCAATGCAACTTACGATGCACTCTCATGCATTTAATTAGTATGCACATTCTCTGTGAATCAAATCCCGTAACCTTGGTGTTACTCGCGTCGTGCTCTACCAGCTGCATCACATTTGTTTCTTAGTATACACGTGGGTCATACCTCTGGATACTTCAGCTTCAGAGATTTGTGCATTTCCCGAAAACGACTGTATCTTCTGAACACCGTCCACGTTTCATCCAAAACAGTGATCTGAACACAGACACAAAAAAGGTTTTTTTTTTTATACAGGAGGTGGCCAGACGGTCAATTCAATCATTCTTACAGATAATGCGGTGATTGTGATTGTATGAAATGCAGACGAACCTTGACTTCAAACTCGAAGTGTTCATCTTTTCCCTGACCGCAAAGGACGTAACGGGGAATACTGATCTTGACTGGATCTTTAAGACTCTCTGGACTCGGATCCAGAGGAATTGACACCAGCCGCTGAGGAAAGACGGGCACTGACGGTCAGAAAACATCCTCAACTGAAGTGCTAATGAAATAAAATTACCTAAACATACAAGACAGTACCTCATATTTCAGTTTGCGTTGATCAATGCGTTTTTTATCATTGTCCTGAGAGATTAAAACACATTTCATTAGGTTCATAAAATAATTAACACAAAACTTTAACAATCTCAATGACTAGTAGCTGATTTCAGGGAACAAGCAAGCACTTGTTTGTCATTTCCCATCAGTGAGGTAGAACAAAAAAAACAGTTTCATTGCAGGAACAGGTGAAATGCATCTATGCAAGACATCGGTGGGCAGGCTGCATGCTCCCAAAGTAGAAAACCACAGAGGAAAGACCCAATCTACTGATATCAGAGATTGTGAGCGGTATGCAAATTAAGGCTGGATCATGCAAATCACCGTCCACTCAGCTGGTGCTGATTGGCTGAGGCCTGTGCTTACCTCATCTGTCAATCTCACAGAGCTACCTTCACTATCCTGCTCCTCCTCCTGCAGAGTTAAACAACTTTGTTGATGCCAAAAACAATTCTGTGGGTTTTAATGCGTTTCTTGTGCATGACGAGGGTAAAATTAAACCATTTTTCTCCTCTTTTGCAAGCCCACACCGAATCTGTGCTTGCACACAAATCTCACAGAGAACAGTTCGGTTAATTCGATTGTGCTTTCGGCTAAAATCAGCACAGAAAAAGCCAAAAAATAAGTGAATAAAAATGTGTAGATTCTGTTTGGGCCTGCTTTTTTAAGTTTCACAAATGTACAAATAGTTGGCATCCAAACCAAAAAGAAAAGCAATTGTACAACAGCATGTATATTTTATAATAGAATAATGATAGTAAGAACATGATGTTTTGGTCTTCAGTTTAAAGACAACATGAAACAACATATTTCACTTCTGTGTGGTAAAGTATTCTTGAGCGAGACAGAATATTCTGTAGAAAAGAATACAATTTTATTTGTTATAATAGTTTATTATTGGTTAATATTTTTCTCTGGTTATGTTGCCTAAGTTACATTGGCAAAAAAAATTTGCTAGATTTTCTGAAAAAAAAAACAGTTGTAAATAAATAAGTAAAAATAAAAAAAGATGACATGTACCAGTGTTATTTCAGTATGTTTTATATTGTATTTATTTATATTTTAAATTAGCTTTTATTTTTACATTTCCAGGTTTAATTTATTTTAGTTTAAGTTTTAGTAATTTTATGTGCTTTTGTCATTTTTATTAGTTTTTTATTTTTCTATTTGGCTTTATTTTTTATTTCAGTTTTAGTTTCAGTAATTTTTTTTGTCAATTAGACATATAGACAGTATTACTAATTTTTATTACATTTTTTAAAGTTCAATTTTTTCAGCTAATATTAATATTTTATTTGATTTCAGATTGATTTCAATGAACGAATATGACACTTAATAGTTTTAATTAACAATAACAACACTGATTTGCACCAAAGTTAAAAGGCAAAACTTTAAGTATATTTGTTTTAATGGCAAAGAAGATTTCTGGATATATGCAAGTAAGCAGGGGTTTGATTTCATGTTGTCTTTAAAGTGCCAGTCTCTGGGTTTAAATGAGTGAGTGTGTTAGCTGTAGATTTATACCTGCAGTGAATCTGAAGACAGTGAGAGTGTGTTGTTATTCTCTCTATTCCGCAGGTTCAGTTTCTGCAGCCTGCGCTGCACCTCTTCTTCAATATACACGTTAATCCTGAGAAGGAAACGGCCAGTTCAGCCACAAATGAAATTACTTACTGACAAAATCACAACCAAGCAGTAAGTCTTTACTACACACTGCTTGTTTGAGACCGTTAAGCAGCAATAAAGGCAGCAGTGGTGTGTGTACCTCTCGTCTCCTATAGACAGGACAGTCGGGAGGGTCTGTATGGGGCTGACGGGCGACTGGTTCACATTGTTTTTTTCTTCCCCACTCACACTGAGACTCCGCACGCTTCCTTCACTCTCACTGATCCTCTGCTTCAGCTGCGCGATCTCTCGCTCCATCCTGAGAAACACCCAGAACAAAATCATAAAGCAAAGACACAGCAGAGTGGCTCTAGGTTTATCACATTCAATTCCAGACAACCCCTTGGGTCCGCAAGGGGTATCTAGAGTCCATAAAAAAATTAGAGATTTTATTTATTTATTTAACAAAATGTTTTTTTAGGGCTGTTAAAGTTCATCTGTGCACTCAAGATATTAATGAAATATAGCGTGTGAAACAATTATATTTTTACGTTCACATTTACTTTAATTTAATAGTATTTCATTATGCTTTCTAAAGACTGGTTAAGATTAACACATTAATTATTCAAAACGATTAATGCATTATTTAAATTATTTTATATTAAATTTTTCTCATAATTTGTTTTTCTAAATATTTTTCTAAAGTAAAAATCTTTGAGAAGAATGTGTCAATCTCAGATACACTAAATAAAAAGTAAATATTTTCCAGATAATCTTTTAACAATTTGTATTAATATAATGACAATGTAAAATCCAATTGTTTAATTTTGGAAACAATTATTTGTCTATAATATTACTATTAATTAATTTTATTATGTTCTTATACTTGCATATTATTGGGCTGCATTTTAGAGGGCAATATCATGTTTACATGTGCAATATATATATATATAGAAAATAAATTTGTTTTGACGCTTACAGGTATTAATAATATCACTATTAATTAATTTTACTATATTCTCATATTTGCATATTGTCTGGGTGCATTTATAAGGTGCAATACCATGCAATACATACATAAGACTTATGTTTTGTGAGTGGTCTGGCATGGAAATATTCCTAATGAGATTAATATAAAGTTTTTACCATACCTTAATCATTGTCTCAAACAGTATAAATATGTATTTTTACATAACAATATACAGCTGTCTTTATTTTTATCAAAAGGGTCCCTCTCAAGCTGTGCTAGTGTACTTCTAAAAAACAACTACACACCTGTCCTGGTCCAGGTCTTGTGTTCCTGTAAACCTGGAAGTGCGCTGTCCTAGAGCGGACTGTGACCTCTTTCGGGGCCCTTCGGCATCCGGCTCCAGACTGAGGCTCCTGCGGTAAGTGGAGTGTCTCCTCTCTAAGCGCGCGACCGCCTGCTCCAGAGCCTCCCGCTGCTGTTTCTCCTTCCACTCCAGGATCTCCTTCTCCTTCCTGCGGACCTTCTCCTCCTGACGGGCCACGTTTGCCGTGAACTGTCCTGGTCCAGGTCTTGTGTTCCTCTAAACCTGGAAGTGCGCTGTCCTAGAGCGGACTGTGACCTCTTTTGGGGCCCTTCGGCGTCCGGCTCCAGACTGAGGCTCCTGCGGTAAGTGGAGTGTCTCCTCTCTAAGCGCGCGACCGCCTGCTCCAGAGCCTCCCGCTGCTGTTTCTCCTTCCACTCCAGGATCTCCTTCTCCTTCCTGCGGACCTTCTCCTCCTGACGGGCCACGTTTGCCGTGAACTCGTACGACTGCTGGAGCTGCTGCAACTGCTCTGCGCTCGCGCTGTACTGAGACAAACGCTCCTCCTTCTCCTCCAGCTCCTTCTCTACCTGCAGAGAAAAACAGAGAGCAAAGAAAGATAAAGATGGATAAAAGCGAGATAAATAAGTATTTGTGAGATGCCACTACCAATACAAGTTTGCAGCTTATTCAGGCCAAGTGCCGCCCACTTAGACAGGAAGAGATCATCTGATTGATCAGAGTTTTACCTGATATAGTGTCTCATCCAGCTCTTTGTCCATAGCTTCTGGACTTCTGTCCAAACCAGGAGACCCTGTTCCTCCTCTAACTCTCTCCAGTAGCTCAGTGGCTCTTTGCCGCTCCTCTGAGACAGCGGGGAGATGTTTCTCACAGAGAGATTGGAGCTGTCTCTCTTTAAACTGCAGCCTGTGTTCGGCCTGCTGGATCAGAACCTCCTCCTGACCCAGAGAGGACACGTCCTGAACGCCACGCTCCATCATATCACAGACCTGCAAGGACGAGAAGAGTGAATCACCAGAGTCTTGATTCAATTTGATTAGAATTTTTTTTTTATTCTCATGTTGATTCAATTACGATTCTGTTACAATGTCCATTTTGCTCACATTTGAAAGAAGTTCTCTCTCTGCTAATGCTTTAAATTATTTAGTTTTTCTAATTCACTAATTCAAACTGGCAATTTGTCTTATGGAACTATTCATTAAAAGAACCGATTCCTAAGAGTCATTTGTTTCAGTAATCAGCCTATATTGGTCCCGATGGATGTTATAGATTTACTAAAAAGAACCATTTAAAAATAATAATAATTTGCTCATGAATTAACCTACACAGGCCTTGCTGCATTATGGTTGGATTAACTAAAAAGAATAGTATCAAAAGAGTTTTGTTCATGTATTGGACTACACAGGTTGTGCTGCATAATTTTTTGATTAACTAAAAAGAATCATCTCAAAAGAGTCAGTTGTCTGTGAATCAGACTACACTGATCCTGTTGTATGTTACAGATTCACTAAAAAGAATCATCTCAAAAGAGTCCGTTGTCTGTGAATCAGACTACACTGGTCCTGTTGTATGTTACAGATTCACTAAAAAGAATCATCTCAAAAGAATCAGTTGTTTGTGAATCAGATGTTGTATGTTACAGATTCACTAAAAAGAATCATCTCAAAAGAATCAGTTGTTTGTGAATCAGATGTTGTATGTTACAGATTCACTAAAAAGAATCATCTCAAAAGAATCAGTTGTTTGTGAATCAGATGTTGTATGTTACAGATTCACTAAAAAGAATCATCTCAAAAGAATCAGTTGTTTGTGAATCAGATGTTGTATGTTACAGATTCACTAAAAAGAATCATCTCAAAAGAATCAGTTGTTTGTGAATCAGATGTTGTATGTTACAGATTCACTAAAAAGAATCATCTCAAAAGAATCAGTTGTTTGTGAATCAGATGTTGTATGTTACAGATTCACTAAAAAGAATCATCTCAAAAGAATCAGTTGTTTGTGAATCAGATGTTGTATGTTACAGATTCACTAAAAATAATCATCTCAAAAGAGTCAGTTGTTTGTGAATCAGACTACACTGGTCCTGTTGTATGTTACAGATTCACTAAAAAGAATAATCTCAAAAGAATCAGTTGTTTGTGAATCAGACTACACTGATCATGTTGTATGTTACAGATTCACTAAAAAGAATCATCTCAAAAGATTGTTACTTCTAACTTAAGTTTGTGAATCAGACTACACTGATCCTGTTGTATGTTAGATTCACTAAAAAGAATCATCTCAAAAGAGTCAGTTGTTTGTGAATCAGACTACACTGATCCTGTTGTATGTTACAGATTCACTAAAAATAACCTGTTTAAGAGAGTCATTTGTTGGTGAATTGGCCTACACAGGTAGCACTGCATTATGTTTTGAGTCACTAAAAAGAATCATCTCAAAAGATTGTTACTTCTAACTTAAATTTAAATATTAATTTAAAAATGAACACAATGGTATTTAAGTGTCGTGAATGTGCCACACTCTTATCACAATCATTAAAAATAAAACAATAAACAATGAAAACCTCCCCACATCAGTTTTCCTCTTGTTTGAGTGTGCTTTTGAAATAAGGACACCTGTACCTGTCTCTGTTTGTCCTTGTGTGTGTGCAGCAGCAGGCCGAGTGACGTGCGTTCATTGGCCACCTCCCGTTCCAGCCGGTCCTTCTGCTGGATCAGTGACTCCTCCAGCAAACTCAGCTCCTCCACCTGCATCTGTTTGAAATGTTCATACTGTGCCTGCGCGCTCCTCCGGGCCTCCTCCCCGCCCTCCTCCTCTCCATCGATCCGCGCCTCCTTCGCTCTGAGCAGCTCCTCCCTGAGCTCGGTGAGCGTCTGTCTCTCCTCCTCCAGTCGGCGCGCTTCATCCGGCGTGAGCAGGGCGGCCGCCTCCTCGCTGCGCTCCCTTCCTGTTGTATGTTACAGATTCACTAAAAAGAATAATCTCAAAAGAGTCAGTTGTTTGTGAATCAGACTACACGGGTCCTGTTGTATGTTACAGATTCACTAAAAATAACCTGTTTAAGAGAGTCATTTGTTGGTGAATTGGCCTACACAGGTAGCACTGCATTATGTTTTGAGTCACTAAAAAGAATCATCTCAAAAGATTGTTACTTCTAACTTAAATTTAAATATTAATTTAAAAATGAACACAATGGTATTTAAGTGTCGTGAATGTGCCACACTCTTATCACAATCATTAAAAATAAAACAATAAACAATGAAAACCTCCCCACATCAGTTTTCCTCTTGTTTGAGTGTGCTTTTGAAATAAGGACACCTGTACCTGTCTCTGTTTGTCCTTGTGTGTGTGCAGCAGCAGGCCGAGTGACGTGCGTTCATTGGCCACCTCCCGTTCCAGCCGGTCCTTCTGCTGGATCAGTGACTCCTCCAGCAAACTCAGCTCCTCCACCTGCATCTGTTTGAAATGTTCATACTGTGCCTGCGCGCTCCTCCGGGCCTCCTCCCCGCCCTCCTCCTCTCCATCGATCCGCGCCTCCTTCGCTCTGAGCAGCTCCTCCCTGAGCTCGGTGAGCGTCTGTCTCTCCTCCTCCAGTCGGCGCGCTTCATCCGGCGTGAGCAGGGCGGCCGCCTCCTCGCTGCGCTCCCTCAGCTGCTCCTCCAGACGCCCAACCAGACTCAGCTGCTCCTTCTCTCGCTCCTCCAGACGCCTGGAAGTTATTATTGTGAAATATTGTTAAATAACTGATCTCGGTTTGAATATATTGTAAAATGTCATTTATTCCTGTGATGTTAAAGCTGAATTTTCAGCATCATTACTCCAGTCTTCAGTGTCACATGATCCTTCAGAAATCATTCTAATATGCTGATTTGCTGCTCAAGAAACATTTCTTATTATCAGTGTTCATATTTTCCACCTGTGTTCCAGCCTGAGTTTGATGGCCTGCTCCTCGCGCTCTCGCTTGAGTCGCTCCAGCTCACGAAGGAGCTCGGTTTGTTCTGCTCGATCTCGCTGGGCCTGAGCCTTTTCATCCTCCTCCAGATCCTCCTCCTGCACCTCCTCCTCCTCCAGCTTCTGCTTCGGCTGCAGTCTCCTCTGCTTCTGCTGTTCCTGTTCCTTCTGCTCTCTCTGTCTCTCCTCCTGAACACAACAGACATTAGCATATAAAAAAAGCCTCTGAAGTGCAAAGATGGTTTATAAGATCGATTTTAAACTCAGTTTACAATATTAAAAATTCTGGCTCTTGGCTGGAGACAAAAACTAACCCTATAAAAAACTGAGTTTTGCAGCCATGTGGAGGGAAAAAAACCAGAACAATTCCAAAAATTGACAACCATAAAACGGCCTACTTCCTGATCAGCAGTCTGACCTGAAATCTCTCTTTCTCAGCGATCAAGTCTCGGAGGCGGTCCTCGATGTCCTGACTGCGTCTGCGCAGGCTCTCCTCCTGTCTGCGGATGCACAGCTGCACCTGCTCAGACTCCTTCCTCTGAGAGTCCACCTCCTGCTGCATGCGCTCAAGCTCCGCCTTCTCACACTTCTGCTTTTCCTCCATCTCTTTTATCAGCCGCCTGGACCAGCAACAAAACAAAGGAAAGGAATTCTGATTAGGCCCAAAATTCATAAATTTTACATTATTTTATATAAAAGAATATATATTATGAGATAATTATTATTTATTATATAATAGTGATTACAAATACAATTATTTTACTAATAACTTGTATATAAAAATATAATTGTAATATAATTATTATAATTTACAAAAATTATTCATAGTTTTATTATTGTAATTAAGTTACAAAAATGTTTAATAATTTACGCAGCTCGCTGTTTTGTTTGCAATTTTGTTTATTTGCCTAAGCTGATTTGGATAAAATCCCAAATGACATGTAAATAAGTGGACAGGCCTGCTTTATGTAAATTACATATTTCGCTGAAGTATTTTGCGTATATTAATGTTTTATAAGTCACATGACACACCTTTTATTTTCCAGTTTTTCCAGTTCTTCTCTTTGCTGCCTTTCAAACTCTAGTCTGGAACATATAAGACACAATTAGTTTCCACCCTTAAAACACACACACACACACACAAACCACAGCAAACTCACACCAGCACATGGGATGAGGGTCTGCATTTTTATGAGCACTGAGCGGTCACATTGCATGCGCTGCAACTATAAGCACGTGCTGCAGAATACACAACTTTAAATAAAAGAGATGGAAACACACAGTCAACTAAAGTGTTAGGATGATGATGAAGTGCTTCTCACAAGCATGATGAACAAGAAATGGAGACTGAACTGAACCCACAAATACTGACATTAATATGTATATAAAAACACAACAGTTAACATGAGAACACTAGTTGTGCTTTGGTTCTACCTGAGAAAGATGGGACCCTTTTCAGTGAAGAGACTGCCATGAAGAAGTTCACAAAGAGGAAATGTTACCAAATACTGCTGCACAAATCCAGACTATTAGTCTGAATTAATTTTATCTAAGGATAATTTAAAAAAATAAAATGACAGAATTTTTGTGTGAACAACTCCTTAAAATAAAATAATACAATAAAAATTAAAAATTAAATTAAATAAAATTTGAATGTTTGGTGTTCATTTATGATATGTAGTTGGTGTAGTAAGTCATTGCCCAGGATCATGATCAGTCATTTTAGGGTTTTACAGGCCAATCAGTTTCCACATGCGTGATCGCAGATCCAAACCTCACCAACAAAAATAACAATAAAACCATAAAACTCATTTTTACTGTGCATTCTTCTATTAATGTGACAATGCAAAAAGTCAATATGCATTCTGTTGTTTATTTTGTTGTTGTTTAGGGATGCATCGATAAAAAAAACAAAAAAAACTATAACCAATACTATAAATCTGTTTGGTTCAACCTGTTTTTTTTTTTTGGTAAACCGGTGTTTTCACTAGAGCAACCTAGTCCAACCTAAAAGTATTTATGCTCAAATTTTGGCATTAAAATATTACAATGTAAAGCAAAAATGACAAAAATCTGTTCAATACTCTTGAGACCTGTCACAGAAAAAAACTGTTGAACTTGTAAAAAATAATATTATTTTCATCCAATAATGACTTAAACCACGGGAAATTATTTACATTAAACAAAGTCAAGTACACTAACATTCAAAAGTTTGGGGCCAGTAAGATTATTTAAATATTTTGAAAGACGTCTCTTCTGCTCACCAAGGCTGCATTTATTTGATCAAAAATACAATAAAAACAGTACTATTGGGAAATATTATTACAATTTAAAATAGCTGTTTTTAATTTGAATATATTTTAAAATGTAATATATTCCAGTGATACAAAGCTGAATTTTCAGCATCATTACTCCAGTCTTCAGTGTCACATGATCCTTCAGAAATCATTCTAACATGCTGATTTGCTGCTCAAGAAACATTTCTTATTATCAATCTTTTTCAAGATTTTGTGATGAACAGAAAGTTAAAAAGAACAGCATTTATTTGAAAGAAATCTTTTGTAACATTATAAATGTCTTTACTGTCACTTTTGATCAATTTAATGCATTCTTGCTGAAAAAAAATATTAATCCCTTAAACTCTAACTGACTTCAAACATTTAAAGATAGTGTAATATACCAAATTTCATGATGATCAGCCATTCAACTGAAACTATTGGCTGTTGTTGGTGGTCATTGTTGTATATTTGTCCAATTCATAGTTTTAGGAAACCACTATATACATGCTTTATCTTCCATTGGTCAGTACCAGTATGGTAACTGATTTATCATGCATCCCTATTGGATCACTGATGATCTGGCAAGCTGTTTTAATGCACTGGGCATCAGCAGTACCAGCAATGGAGCCGGAGGGCATGAAGAGAGAGGAGGATGGAGAGAGGAGGCAAGAGAAGGCTCCTGGGAAGGAAGAGAGGGAGGAGGGCTGAGGAAGAGGAGGCGGCGTGGGGAGGAAGATACCACTCGCTCTGTTGCACACGCACTCCCACACACGTGGAGGCTTACCCAGGGTTATACAGCATGACTGTGGAGAGGTTTTCACAGGATTTGGACAGATCAGACATGGATAAGCTCAGGCTGGTGAGGAGGCCGCTCTGGAGAACAGGAAGAGCAGATATATTAACAAACGTGTGTGTGAGATGCTGAAGTTTTGTGTGTGAATTCCTCTCACCTTTCTCTTTTCTCGAAGTTTAGCCGCCTCTTTAGGATGATTGAATCTGAACATATTGGTTCTGCCGAGGAGAATGACAGCACCTGAGAAACACAAATGCACAAATAAATCTACCGTTTAATAAATGAGAAACATCAGCTTTGCATAAAACTGCATTCATATAGCTTATTTAATAAAAAATGAAATTCTTTGTAGAAAGGTGTATGTGTGACCTTGGTTGAGCTGGCAGGGCTCAGTGATCTGAACTCCATTGACTGAACATTGAGCGTCATTCAGAGGAATAAGAGTGACCGTTCCATTCTGATTCTCTATCAGACAGTGCTCACTTTCCAGACCCAAACCATGAAGAACTGCAAAGAGAGAGACAGAAAATATCTTTATGACTGACAGTACAGGCAAAGATCTGAATTTCAATTCAACTCCAGTTGGAAATCTAAATCTAAATTGAAATTGAACTGAAAAAGGCAATCCAAATGAATTTGAATTAAGAAACAAACAGGATAGAGCATCTTGGATAGCCTGAGGGTGAGGAAATTAACAGCAAATTTTCATTTGGGTGAACTATCCATTTAAGGGCAGGATTTAAATGGAATTTTTTTTTAAATGCATAAAACTGAAGCACTATTTTTGATTACATTTTTTTGTATCAATTACCCATAAACGCATCATCATACACAGGATGTTGCACTGATATTTGAATTGTAATTACAGTTAGAGGAATTTACCTTAAAATTGCAATTCACAGAGATACCCATTTTGTGAGAAAACATAATTAAATGATTAATTCTGATTATTTATATCATTTTTTCCTCATCTGATCTGACATATTTAACTAAACTACCGGTAAAATAATTAACACTAACATTAAAACAGCACAACTAAATGTCCACATTTTCAAAAAAATGAAATCATATCACATTATACAGATTTAATTAATATGGATAATTCTAGAAAACATATGGTGCATAAATTAAGACAGATTTTCATCGTGGCATTTCAAATGCTTATTATTAATATCATGTTTGTGTGCTGTGTCTGAATCAAATAATAGCTAAACAGATGGAGAGAGAGTTCTGTCAATGAAGACTGTTAAACTCACTGATGTCCTGTTCGTTAGTGGCATCGTCACGGCCAACGTATGTCCTTCCCTCCTGCAAACACACACAAACCCTGTAAACTCATATAATACAATCACATGAAATAAACCACATAATAAAGAAAAACTAATTCATTCGGTTGTAGCGGCGTCTTCATCTTCACCACCCATACTGTAATGATCACTGCCTGATGTTCATTACCTTTAAGTGATAGAGAATGATGCCGGTGCTGAGCAGATCATCATCAATCCCGATGAGATGAGGCAGCTCTGAGTCCAGGATCACTCCGATTCCCTCCTTCCTTAGAGCCAGAGTTTCCTCCTGCTCGAAACACACACTCAGTGCCTGGCTCAGCGAACGAGGCGATAAAAATAGGATGCTGGACTGAAAGATAACGACAAACCTTCAGGATGTTCTGCGTTTCATTCCATTTGTTCGTCCATTCCTTGGTCAGCTCCAACACCTGCGACAGAAAAACATGCACACGACTGTGTGTTATTTCATATCCTGCCATAACCATCATTTGAATTCATCACTGGCATTTCGCACAGCATTTATTAGCAAAAATTTGGCAAACAAATCCCTGCTGTTTAGCACATTATGGGCTTCAGTGTGTGAAAATGAATAGCTTTAGAAACTGCTTATTCAGTGCGACTGCATCAGCTTGGAGGAGAGTGTACAAGTGCTGTTGTTATGCAATTATGAAAGGGTGCATGTTACCATAGCTTCATTATGGTGCAGTTCCTCCTCCATACTTAACGCTGTGGGGGAATCGAGCAGCGCTATCTGAAAATGACACAAAATATAACAGCCAAGTCAAGTCACCTTTATTTATAAAGCGCTTTATACACTATAGATTGCTTCAAAGCAGCTTCACAGTAATAAACAGGAAAACAACAGAATCAATTATGCACACTTCTTCAAATATGAGACTAATTCAATATTAGCTGCTCTAAAAAAAACACAATAGTGTAGTTTAATTCAATAGTAGTTCATTTCAGTAACTGTGTAAAGTTCATCAATTATGAAACAAGTTCAAAATTCAGCTAGAAACAGCTTGACAGAAGACAATAGTGTGCTTATTCAGCTTAAGTCAGTTCCATATTGATTCTATTCAGTTCAATAACTGTCAATATTGCAAAATTTATCAATTAAGGAACGAAAGCTTATATGGATTATCAACAAAGCAGCTCCACAGCTCTAATAGCAAGTGAAAAGATCTATTAAAACTGATACTTAGATAAGAAAAGAAGATCCATCATTAAGGCTTAAATAGCTTTAATCTTTTAGGGTAATTAGCAATTGTCAAATTCACGTTCAGACCTGATTTCCCTGCGTGAGCAACGCTTTCAGCCGAGCAATCTCTGCCCGCAGTTCTCGTATAAGTCTAACGTTGGAATCCTCATTAATCGTGGGTTTGTTGATGATGTTTTTAGCACGATTAGCATAGCGCAGCGTGCTCAGCGTCTCGCCGTAGTTGACGTCCGCAGGCGATATAGCTGGACAAAAATATTTGAGATCTCACATGCATGACAAAAAACTGATTTAATAACTCTAAAGGTGTCGCTAAAAGTTTCACCATCAAGAAAACAAGTGGTGTGACAATCAAGTAAAATGTAATAAATTATGTTCCTTCCTTCAAGCCATTGTCTGTGCAAATTACATAAGTGTTATGTAACAACTTAACAGATCCAGCCAAGACAACGAGTGTCACGTGATCCCTCACTCACTAGCGATCATGATGGTCTTTGAGTTTCCTCCCAGACTGTCCTTCAGGAGCCACGTGAGCACTGAGTCTCTGTAAGGAACAAACACCTGCTTCTTCTTCAAATGACTGTTCGCTCCTTCCAGTGACAGATCAGCTACAATGACAGAAGGAGCCATCAGAATAACGATTAAAAGAGACAAAATTTTACCCATCTGTACCCAAAAGTTAATGTGAATTTAAGGAAATGAAACAAGACAATCAGAAGTGTGTCAGGGCAAAACAGCGCCTCTCACCTAAGGCGGAGATGACATTGCCCAGAGTGACCAGTGATTTGTTGATATTGCTGCCCTCTTTGAGCCGGACACCCGTGGCCCCTGTGGCATCGGCCCTCTCACTTCCTGCCAGGTCCACCAGGTGAATCTTACTGACTGTCTCACTCGGCATCACAGCATCAAACTTAGCCTGAGAAGAGGGAATAAAAACTAAATGTATATTATCCTTTTAACTTTATTTACTAGTAAAAGTATTTAGCATCTTTTGCTGACATCATGGATTTCTCAGCTGGTTCAAGCTCATGCAAATCCACATTCTATGGCAATAACACAAGTGTAGATACCTGTGTGAAGTTGATGGTGAAGATGGCGTGTGAGCGGCTACTAGTGTCGTTCATGCCGGTGCTGGCAGTCGTGCGGTTGATGTTTCCCGCCTCCATCAGCTCCTCCACATCACTATAGTTCTGCACGAGGTGCTTCGACAGGTCTGAAATCAGTGCGGAAGCATTTATAAGAACTTACAGCAACTACACATGCAGACACCTTTGAATGCCGCATTCAAGTGTTTTTGCAATATTTACACAATATTTATTTAATGTTTAAATAATATTGAAATTTTTACTCAATATTTATGCAATGTTTGCATAATACTGCAATATTCACTCAATATATACGTAATGTTTACTTTGTTACAATATTTAAGCAATGTTTACATAATGTTGTAATATTTACTCAATATTTATGAACTAATTAATGTTACAATATTTACATGTTTATGTAATATTGCAATAATATTTACTGAATGAGCAAATATTGCAAGATTAAGTAAATAATAAGTAAATATTAATTAATATTGCAATATTTACTTAATGTTTATATAATATTGCAATATTTACTGGTACTTAATATTACAATATTTACTCAATATATAAATAATATTGCAATAATTACTCAGTATTGTAATATTTACTCAGTATTTACATAATATTGCAATATTTACCAGTACTTAATATTACAATACTTACTTACTATATTTACTGAATATGTACTTAATATTGCAATATTTACGTTATATTTACTTAAATTATTACTTGAAAAAATTAAAGCAACGTTTACTTAGTTAAACAATACCAGAAAGCTACATGCCACTGTTTTGATTAATTTATTAATATTTATAGTAATGTTTTTTATTTATTTTATTTTTTTTTATTAGAGGAGTGTTATCCATAACATCTTTGTTTGGCTGTGACACTGAACTTAGTATGAGAATCGTAAAATGTCACTAGTATTGTCACTATCGTGACAATGTTTATCTTATGCATTGATTTGCAGAGTTTTGGTTAAGGATTGAAGTCATGTTCTTACCTTCTACATAGGGTCCCTCTTTAGGATGCTCTCTGACTCTGAGGTTATACGTCTCTGCCATCTTTCTCCTTAACAAGTCCCGCACCCGTTCATTGTAAATCTCCAAGTAGCTGCCAGCATAATCAAAACATGACGGCTTTAGCAGCTTTTCATTTTTCTCAGTTTGTATACTGCAACAGAACCTTTACTTTGAAGACGTACATGTCAATAAATATTATTTCTGTGCTACTAGCAGCACCAAATAGAACCAATAAATCTGTGAGTTTGTGATGGGGACTGCTTGAAACTTTTATGCAACTCTGTTTGCTGCCCATAAAGGTGCAGAAACATGGTGCACACTTCACCATTTGACTATCAGACTTTAGCTATCGAATACTGCAGGATTTTCACATATGACTTCTGAACTCAACTCACCTGACCTCTGTACGGAAAGAGGCTTCATCTCTCCGAGTCATTCCTGAAATTCGGCTGAATAATCCTTCACAGATCCGTGGGATCAGCCCGACGTCACCCTACGGCACAGCAAGTCATGATTCAGAGCCTGTATTCAGCTCAGTAACTCTAAAAGCAGTCAAGGCTGATAAATCAACTGCCTGAGAGATTTACTGACATATATTTGAAATGACAAAACAAGCCTCAACCTTGGTATTGGCAAAAGAAGACACTTGTATTAATAAAAAGGCTTACAGGGATGCCCATCATGGTGTGTGACTTCCCTGATCCAGTCTGGCCGTAAGCAAAGATGCAGGCATTATATCCTTCAAACGCTGCCTTTAACACATCAGTGCCCAGATCCTTGAACACCTGAAATCACACACACATCATGCCTGTGATATTACGGTATTTTTATATGCACCAGTGCAAAGCTGAAAACTGAAAGTTAATCATAAAGTCAAGATATGAGCTCAACTGTACTGTTAATGATGGCTGGGCATTTACAATCCCTTTAAGATCAGGATTTGATTTAATCAGCCTCTGGGAAACCAGCCATGAATACCAATATTTTAGTTTTTACTATATAACACAACACCCAAGATTGTTATTACGTGTCATCGTTGAGTAACAAACCTTTCTGAACACAAACGTTAAGAGGATTAGCTCCTAATGAGATCTGATTACTTTATTATACGTAAACAGTGCTGGGGTTTTTTAATAAAATAAACCCTTTTACAAACATGCTCTAGTTATTATTATCAAATGCTCATAATCTATTTGAATGATATTGCATTGTGAATAGCATGAGGATATTTATTTGGCTATTAGGTCATGTAATTAAACTAGTTCTGTGATCTTGCAAGTAAGTGCACATTAAGACAAGGTTTACTTTATATTCATGCATTAGGCAGATGCTTTTATCCAAAGCGACTTGCATTGCATTAAACATTCTCGGATTTAAATCTTAATAGAAAAAATGTTGTTAGAATTGATACGTTTGATTCATATCTGTGAATCAGTTTTTACTATTATTATGTATTGTTAATTTGGTGCATACATTTTTTTATTTAGTAAAATAAGTGTGGAAAACATGCCTTGATTTAACTAGATTTTACCTCATTAATGTTTGCTTACAGCTAATTAACAAATTAATGCCTGCAAATGTCAAAAGTTCTACAATTGTCATTTGGCAATCTGTGCTGTTCATATTTCCACTGACCTTCTCCTGTGAGACAAAGCTGGCGTTTTTACAGTCCGAAGAGTCGTAAGAGAAATCATACGTGAAAGTCTTTGTTCTCTCTCTTACAGAGTCTCCAGTCACTCCATCTGGTATCTGATGTAAAAATAGAATTAGCTCAAAAATTATACTTTTTTGAAACTCTATCATTTATAGACTTTCAATGCAACATACTTTTAAGTTGGTGATGGTGGTTTTGTTGCCTTCCATTTCGATTATGCATTTGGCAGACAGGTCTTTCTCCCTGTGCCAAAAATCAATAATACATGAATAAAATATATATTTATGCACTTCATCTATTATTCACACACACTGTAAATCCATAGTCCACAGGCATTTACTCTCGAGGGAGACGATTTAATTTAGACCAATCAACAGATCAAACTAGGTGTCTATTTTCGACCTGATGCTTTTATGAGCTGTTTAAGGTGGAAAGCAGATTAAAACCACTAGTTCATTTTTTTTTACTTATTTTTTTTTTTTATTACAAATTAAATGATCAATTAGAGTTAAAATAGTTCAAATGAAAAATTAATTTTGGATCTCAGTATTAGCATTTTTTAGTCAATTTTATTGAGCCATATAAAATCTGAATCAGACACAGGAATAAGCAGAAAATTACTAAATTAAGTAATAATATTTATGCTCTACTATGACAACAGCACCATGCAGTTAGCCACTCCAGTGAAAATCCTCACACAAACATCTAGGATCAGGAGATGTTTCGGAAAGAATGAGCTGCATACAGTATGTCCCCAGAGACATACAGAAGCTACATAAGCTGTATGCTAAATCCACACAGGTTTGTGTGCATATAGCCCCACAAATTCTCAGTCTTACTTTAAAGCATGTTTATAATTCTTATTGCACTCATGCATGATTTATTTCATGATGATATTCACATTATTGTAAAACATTCATTAAATTCATTATATGCTACAAATTAAAGACAAAAAAGAACAATATTTATACAAACATTATAATTATTTTATTCACATAACAGTAATTTTAAATGTATTATTATGAATCATTTTTTTTTTTTTTTGTGATAATAAAAATATATTTTTATTATTATTATAAATGACAAATATTATGACAATAAATATTTGGTCTGGGACAGTCTCAAGACAAAGGGGGCTGAAAATGGAGAGAGAAAAAAAGATGAGTCCACTTTCAAGAGAACTTGGGCATTTTTCATCCGGTTCACTTTCGATCTGATTAATCTGATTATTTACAATAGAGTCCAGTGTCAGCTCGGGGACCGCCAGGTTCGTATCTGACCTGCGTCATGACAACTTTCCAAAGGAAAAAAAAAACTCAATAATAATGAATAGAATATTAATACATGCCGAATGTTAATAACGAGAAAAACAGCTCACTAGTTTTATTTTACGTGTATTTAAATGTTTGTGTTGTCATGCCTTTCACTGTTGCGACATTATTCACGCCGATGTTTACGTGTTTGTTTATGTGTTTAAGACGCACTCACCGTCTGTTCATGGGCCGGACCCGCACTGCCACCCGAACCGATGCCATGACACATCCCTGAGGATCAGAAACACACACACACACACACACACACACACACACACACACACACACGCTGTTTTTGTTAACTTATAAAAACTTATACAAATTAGTTTTCTTTGAAATAAATTGAACTCAAAAAGAATAAAATATAAATATTTGATTAAAAACGTAAATGAAAACTGAAATTAAATAAGTTTAGGTACTAAATTACTAAAACTGAAAAAAAAAAATAAAGCTAAAAAGAAATACAAAAAAAACCTAAAACTAAAATTAAAATGAAAACTGAAAATTCAGAAAATTACAATTCAAAAAATGAATAGATGCTATAAATAGCCTAATATAAAAAACACTGCCATCTTTAAGATGTATCAATAAGGACAGACAAAAATAATTACATTATCGAATGCTTTTATTATCTAAAATTCAGTACAAATTAAATAAATGTATAAGTCAGTTATTTGGTAATGGATCTCTAGATGTTACATCCAGAACAAAAATAAATAAATTGTGACAATATTTAGTGACACACGTTGCTGCTCCCGCTGACCGTCAGGAACGATGGTCCTCGGATGCTGACCTGAATCCATTCATGCTGTCCTGTGGCTTTAACCTACAACATTACTGTACAGATCATAATCATATCAGCTCTATTAGTTGTCATTTTTCTTCAGCAGAGCCAGCAGACGCTGTTAACATCAGCTCATACACATAAACTGAGTTATACGGCAATTCCATTATGAGCCATTAGAGCTAAAGTGCCCTGAAGTTCTTGCTTCAGTTTTTTAAAGTGCCCATTCTCTGATCCTGGATTTTTTTTCCCCCCACAGTTCATAGCCAGCGTCGCTACAGCGTAAGCGGAGAGGATGACGATGGTTGATCCCACAAAATGTGAGGAGGCCCCCCGAGCCGGGACCTTCAGGGCTCTCCGTGGTATGGATGCTTCTGGGCGAGGTAACGTGTGAGACACTGACTCCATGACTCCCGTCAGCAGAAAATCCGGTTCACCTGGATCTTCTTCAGGAGAGCTGAAGGTACAGAAGTTGAAGTAGCTTCACAGGCTGAAGATGAAGAAGCTTCAGGCTCCTTTGAGACACACGTCCATTCATCAACACTGTGTCCCTTCCTTCCATCCGTTCCTTCCTGTATAAATGTCGCCCCATCCCGCCCTCATGACACGCATAAAATCCCTAAATTAGCCCAGCGCCTGTGTGCGTCAATGGGATGTGGCACAGATAGCGCAACAGAGCTCAGTCAGACGCGTCTGAGTTGAATTCTTTCAGAGGAATCCAGCAGAGGCCCTGTAATGCAGAGAAGGCATTTGAGCGACGGGAAGTCTCACACGAACACTATTAGTCCAAAGAGAATGTGACAGGAGCCACTCACCAACATTATGTTAAACAAGTCAAAACTGTTTTATATTTTCCTCAAAATCACTATTTGTCAAGATCATAGCTCTGCACACCATCATTCTCTCAAATAATTTCATAGGGTGTATTTTAAAACTCATTAAAAAAAATTGCATGTATGCTAAAACAAATAAATAAATAATACATTAATGCAATGTTTAAAATTTAATACAAATCATATATTTATACACAGGAAAAAATCATTTATTAATTTTTTTATTTTTACAAAACTATTTGAACGCATTCAGTTAAGTTTTGAAATGTGTGACTTGTAGGACTGAGAATGTTGAATTTATATAAAGAATCGGACTCATCTGTAAATTCTTTAAACTCATAATGTCTGATTGAGGACATTAGCAGGTGATGTCAGCTGCTGTAAATAACCAGGTGACCCAGGAAACGCTCTCCCCATGGGTATTGCTAGAATTGTGTCTGCATACAATTCATATTCATCAATGATTTTTAATTAAATTTTTCTTTTACTAAATAAATCATGTTGTCTCCTATTCTTTATAAAGACTTAATGGAGCAAAAATGTAAATGTTTTGATTGAACTATAATTTACAAATCTAATTATCTGTCTCAGTAATGCCAGCCGAGGCTGATGAGAGCGCTCTGTCCTTGGTGCTGTCAGTTTAGGCATTATTGCACCGCCAGCTCTTCAAGAACAATTAGCCGTGTGACCAGAGCCGATCCTCCCTATACGCAAAGTACGCAAGCTGCGAAACACCAGGGGGCCTCCTTGCTCTCAAAGATGATTTAATTTTAGTTTCTTTTTGAATTTGGCCAGCGGTTATGAAAACCGCTTACGTGATTTCTTTTAATGCGGTGCGCTGTCGCCCTTTCTACGTAAAAATCAGTCAAATCATGTAACGTGAATGTCATACAGTGTCTTACTCCAGACAAAAAAAAAAACGAGTTGAAAGCGTACCGAGCCGCGGAAGAGACACCGTTTCTCAAGCGGACAAAGGCGTTTCATTAATTCATAACTCTCATTCATAAACCTGCATTAATACATAAATTATATAATCAGCCATTTATGGCTAGCTCATAAACAAGTAGCTATACTTCAATTTTTTTTTACTCCAACAAGTTACATTTCTTCCGTAAATGCCTCTCAAAGTGCACTTGACTTTGTTTGGTATAGTGTACATACTACTCATTATTTGACTGAATTGTCAGAGTTTGTTTTGTTCTGTTGCTTTGCTTTTGTCACAGGTTTCCCAGGCTCCCCAGTCAGTCAACGGTCTCAGTCACCTGATTACTAATCACCGCACATGTTCCTCATCAGCACACCAATATCTCAGTCCCTCATGGCTAACCTCAAATGTGGGGACAGACTATTACCTGCGATACTGACCTGTCTTCTTGTGAATCCCCCCTCGATCTCCAAGGCATTCAAGGCAACCAGTTTTGTCTAATCTTGTTTAGTTTCATAGTTTCATTTAGTCGTGTCAAGGTTTTAGTTTTGCTTAGCTTTGTTCAGTTTTTCACGTTGTTTGTTTAGTTTATTTAGTCTTGTTTCATCTAGTTTTGATTAGATTTGTCTAATTTCAGTTGCTTTTTTTTGTTCAGCTTTGATTGCTTTTGTCTACTTTTTATTTGCTTTTGTTTAGCTTCACGTGCTTGTGTTGTTTCATTTAGCTCTGTCTAGTTTTGTTTACTTTTGTTCAGCTTTGTTTACTTTAATTTAGTTTCGTCTAGTTTTTTACTTGTTTAGTGTTGATTAGTTTTGTTTAGCTTTGTTTTCTTTCATCTAGTTTTGTAATTTCGGCTCATTTTGTCTAGTTTTGCTTTTTGTTTTGTTTCATTATTTACTTGTAATTTAGAGGTATTTAGTGTTTGTTTGCTGTAGTTTCATCTAGTTTTTTTTTACTTGCTGTTTAGTTTGATAGCTTTTTTTGCTTTTTGTCTTTTTGTTTGGTTTAGTCTTTTTTTTTTTTTTTATTGCTGTGGCTCGAAAGCAGCGGCGCTTTTATTATGCCACTCTTTATTGCTTCGGCTCCTTCCGGTTGTGCGTGTGTGGGGTAAAGCAGCGCTGTTTTAACATACTAGATACATTTGAACGTTCTGTTATAATGCTACTCTGTGCGGTCGTCACCGGTCCATTTGGGATAATGTAAGTACACAAGTCAGCAAAATATATAACACTGTTCTAGTGGTTTTTGGATATTTTAATAAAAAAAATTCTTAAATATTGTGCCTTTTAAGTGTGAAAACAAAAACACCCTGTATATTTCCTCAGATGTGTCATTTCCACTGTCTACCAACAGACGTCAATGTTAATTATTTCACTTGATGGTAAGCCAGACTTGCATGCTTGTTAAGTATGTGTGTGTGTGTGTGTGTGTGTGCGCGTGTGTACAGCAAAGCCTCTAGTTGTTTTTTTTCTGCCAGATGTTACTGAACTTAACTTCATTACTGATCATTTTGCTTTAACTGCACACAGCACACACACATTGTCTAAAGCTTTGTTTTGCAGCACACATGTTCTTCCTCATAAGAATTCTGTTTGTCTTAAGGACCTTACTAAAAGCATGTGACACAACTTGTCCATTGGTATCTAATTTGACAGATAAATTTGCACCAAAATACTGTTGTGTTTTCTCCTGTATTGAAAATTGTAAAAATTGTTATCTTTCCTTGCATGACAATATGCATTTTATTATTTGCGAAAGTGAGAGAATATGAGTGAAAGAGCTAGTGTGCCATTTAATGTTAAAAGAAACACTAGCGAATTCACACAATGGATTGACATTTCATCTTTTCAGATAAGAATTTACATAGTGTGAGCTTGAGTGATTGTGTTTGTTTGTGTGTGTGTTCTGGTATATATGGTTTATAAGGACACAAATGTGTATAATAACATGAGTATTACAACGTAAACATGGTTTATGAGGACCATTCTTGTGTCCTGGTAAAACATAAGGCTTAAAAAACACACTAAATGGTGTTTTTTGAAATTCAAAGATTGCCAGTAGTTTTCTGTGAGGGGTAAGTTTAGGGTAAGGGGATAGTTTGTACAGTATAAAAACCATTACATATGGAGAATCCCCATAAACCACATATGTAAGAATGTGTGAGTGACTTTATGCATTGTTATTGCAGCATTAATTAATTTATTTGTGTCTATTCAAATGTGCATTTGGTACTTGTTAGGCAATGGAAATAAAATTATAATTTACACTCATCACACATACTCAAGCACTCATATATTACTACACATACAGTACATACGCAGATCACCATTAATCACAGGGATAGTTCACCCAAAAATGAGGATACTGTCATTAATTACTCAACCTCATGTCGTTCCAAACCCATAAGACCTTCGTTCATCTTTGGAACACAAATTAAGATATTTTTTTATATAATCCGAAAACTTTCTGACCCTGCATAGACAACAATGCAACTGAAACGTTACCAGACCTAGTATAAGGACATCATTACAATAGTCCATGTGACATCTGGTTCAACCGTAATGTTATAAAGCTATGAGAATACTTTTTGTGCGTAAAGAAAACAAAAATAATGATTTTATTATTAATGTATTATTATTTAACAATTTATTTTCTTCCGGTCAGTCTCCGCCGCCATTCACAACAGTACCACATACAGGAACTAACCCTTTAAGATGTGTTTATTTGCATTGCAATTGTT